TGACGTCACCTGCCAATACCCTGCCGGTGCCGCGGGGACGGATCGATCGTCCCGCGTGTCATTCGCTGTCCTTATGTAAGCGCGGGGGGCCCGGCTTGCCCCGGGGGGCACATCCCCGGTCTGTGACCCCCCCATTTCCCCTCCATCCCCGGTTTGTGACCTCCCCCATTTCCCCTCCATCCCCCAGAGCAATACGCCGTGGATGAGCTGCTCCGAGCCTTCATGCAGCGCGTGGAGATCGACGAGCAGGTCATCATCTACCTGGAGATGACGCAGGTACAGGGTGGGGGAACAGAGACCCCCGGAGGAGGGGAGCACGGAGACCCCCAGGTGACCCCCAAATCCCCCTCCCCAGTTCCACAACGCCCGGCAGCTGGCGGCATGGTGCCTGCACTACATCTGCACCAACTACAACCGCGTGTGCCGCCGCTTCCCCCGCGAGATGAAGTTCATGTCCCCAGGTAACGGGGTGGGCGGGGGGCGCGGGGGGCGCGGGGCGGGGTCCCCACCGTGCCCTGAGCCCCGGGATGTCCCCGCAGAGAACCAGGCGCACTTCGAGCGGCACCGCTGGCCCCCGGTGTGGTACCTGAAGGAGGAGGATYTGTACCTGCGCTCCAAGAAGGAGCGGGAGCGCGAGGAGCAGCTGCAGCGCAAGCAGCACCCCCGCAGCAAGTGGTGCTTCTGGCGACCCTCGCCCCCCGTGTCCTGAGCTGGGGGGGGCATTGAGGGGACCCCCGAGTGGGGATGGGGGCCCTGTGCTGGGCTGAGGGGCTGGGGAGGGCTGGGGGTCCCTGTTTTGGGCAGGGGGTGTTGCCCCGGGATCCCCAAGCTGGGCTCGGGGGTTCGGCTGGGCTGGGGGTCCCTGTGGTGAGTGAGGGGCTTGGGCCTGGGGCTTTCATAAAGGGCTGGGGGGCTCGGCTGGGCTGAGGGCCCCTGTATTGGGTGGGGGGGCTCGAGCCCAGGGCTCCCATGAAGGGCTGGGGGGTCCCTGGGTTGGGTGGGGGGCTCAGGCTCAGCCCCAGGGGTCTCACACTGAACGGAGGGGTTGGACCCTGGGACCCCCACCCTGGGACCCCCCCCAACACTGAGCCAGGGGGCTTGGCCGGGGTGGGGGTCTCCYAAGGGCTTGTTTACCCCCCCACCCCGGCTGTTTACAGGCTCTGCCRGGTCGCAGCCCCCCTCCCGTCCCACCGTGCCTTTCCCCGGTGGGGGTGGGGTCGTGCGGAGCCCCCTCCCCCCGGCAGGGCCCCCCCACCCCGGCCAACGCTGGTGCTACCTCTGACCGAGCAGTATTTGGGGCTGGGGGTGCGCAGGGAGTGGGGGCTCTGCCGCTCTCTTTTTCTTCTTTGGGGGGGTCCCCACCCCCGTAGGGCTCTCTGGTGCTGTATTTTCTCCCCCCGTGGGGCGGGGGGGGGCCAAGCTGTGAGCAGGGTGGGATGGGTGGGGGGTGGGCGCGGTGGGGGGAGGGGTCCCCGGGTGCTTGTGTGGCTGCGAGAGCCCCCCGGCTCATCTCTGTGCCTTGGACGGGCCCCCCGGCCCCGGGCTGTGTCCCGGGGGGATCATTGTCCCTGTCCCGGGGGCGTGGCATTGTCCCTGTCCCCGGGCTGTGTCCCCGCCCCCGGGCTGAACTGCACAACCGTTTTTACACTTTTTTACCCCAGGAGCACAGCGGCCTCCCCTGGGCCCCGGGGCCCCACCCGGCCCGGAGCGGGSCCCCCCCACCTCAGCAGCGGCTGTTTTAACCTTTAATAAAGCTTTTTGTAACGGAGCCTGATTCTGCTGAGCCCCCCCAAACTCTTGCTGGGCCCCCCAAAATTCTGCTGGGCCCCTCCAAACTCTTGCTGGGTCCCCCCAAACTCTGCTGGGCCCCCCCAGCAGGAGCCCTCCCCCCCAGGAAGGATGGACATGGGGGGGCTTCATTCGGGTGTATTTATTGGGGGGGCTTTGTTCGGGTGTATTTATTGGGGGACACAGAGCACAATGGGGGTGGGGGACACAAGTGGGGGGGTCCTGACCCACACATTGGGG